GGTAAATGGTTTGGCAGCCATCGCCCCGCTCCTTTAGGACCGTTCTAGCTCGGTGCGCTCCTCCTAGTAGACGTGTACCATGCCATACAAGAAAGTCCAAAAGAGGACGTACGTGAAGAGACCCCCGATCAGGCCCCCAGTAAAAAGGGGCCGCCGAGATTTAAAGTACTTGCTCCACCGCCGCCCAGCTTTTAGGACCAAAAGCACCGAGAGCAAGACAGAGGCCAGGAAGTAGAAGATGAATCCGTGCAGGCCGGTCAGGCCGAGAATGCCTGCTGTCGCTCCCGAGAGGGCAGACACTGATGTTCTGCAGTAATCCAGGATAGCCGCATTCCCTCGGACGGCCGCTTCGCTGATGAACTGGGGGCCTTCCCGTTTGGCCATAACTACAGCCATGGCTCAAGAGGCTGGCTCCAGCGGTGTCACTTTCAGTGTTTCTATTTAATTAAAAAAAACACAGTAATTCAGGTTTGTTTTGGGAAAAATTCATTAAACAGAACTACAGATAGCTGGCTTTCTGTTAGACCCCAGTCCATGGTTTAGTAACAGAAATACAACTTTGTCCATGCAAACGTAAAGCACGCTGTGTTTAAAATAATGAGAATCCCAACATGTTCTTTGATCTTTTACAGCAGTTCATCAATTATAGCAGCAATTCAGAAGCCATTTGTTCTGCAAAAGACCAATAGACAAATGCAGCATTTCTCAATACAACTAGGGGAATGGGAGGGGCTGTGCCTCAGTGGAAGAGCCTCTGCTTGGCATGCAGAAGGTCCCAGGTTCAATCCCCAGAATCCCCAGGTAAAAGGACCAGGTTGTAGGTGATGGGAAAGACCTCTGCCTGAGACCCTGGAGAGCTGCTGTCAATCTGAGTAGACAAAGCTGACCTTGATGAACCGATAGTCTGATTCAGTTAAGTATTCATGTGTTCATGTGTGTTCACAACAGCTTCCAGCTGCATGCATGGATCTAGGATTTGGGATGCTAATTCAACAATGGCATTGGAAAAGAACAGAACAGGACATATCTGACCTCATTCAGAGCAAAACGGCATCTCTTCTTTCCCAATGAGACTTCAACAGCGAAGAGGGTAGCAATCCAATAGTAGAATCCTATGTATGGCTACTCCAGTCAAAGACTATTAAAGTCAATTGGTTTATACTGGAGTACTTGGGTCTGGGGGGCAGTGGTCCCACAAATCCTATACGGAACAGCTGGAGTTCTTACCCAACAGGACACCCCACCTGCTTTGGCTGGTGTTCTTCCCACCTACCCTTCAAGAATCCAGACTAGTTTTAAAAATCATTGCTTTAGGTAAGAAAACATATTGGTTAAAAACTATAGATATTGATCTACATGTCACAGAACTGGGATAGAGAATTAGCTCCTTGATTTATTTTGGGTTGGCTCCATAACGTGTACAGAACATATAGTCTTTTCCTGGTATTTTCCGTGGTTCTCAAACTCATGTAAAAAGTATCACAAGGTTATTAAAGGAAAGCTAAAAATGTTGGCAGATTTCAAAGAAGTTGACATGTTGCAGCAAAGACCAAAGAAAAGAGTTTTGTGGCAATTTAAAGAATAATACATTTATTGTAAAGGCTTTTACACTATAGTAAGTTTTTTAATCTTTAAGGCGCCATTGGACAGTTTCAAAGAAAGCAAACACACCAGGTCCTCATGGCAAAGAGAAGAAACAGGCACCCTAAGCATTCATTACCCTCTGATTTTGTCCCTTTTACTAACAAATAAAATTCCAGTTCAAACAACACAACTCAGAATAGCTGAAAACCAAGCACTTTAGAACATACTAGGAGGGGGGAAATGAGAACATTTCAGGTGCTTTAAAAATAAATGGCAGTCAACATAGCATTGTGGCTAAATAAAGGCACTTTAATCCAAGAAGCTGCTGGTTCAAATCTCACCTCTGCCACAAAATTACCAGACGGCCATAAGCAAGGAACTCTTTCTCAGCCTGGTCTATTGGCAATATGAGGAGGGATGATAATGCTTGCATGCTTTATAGGACTGTTGTGAGAATTAGTAGTACATACAAAGTACACTGAATACTGACAGTGCTGTATGTGTACGTCTTATAATACCAGAAGCAAACAAAATCAAAGTATTATGATCGGCCACAAATCCAAGTATCGTGCAGGCGGCAAATATACAAAAGGGAATCAGTGTTAGTCTGTTTCAGCAAAATAAAGCAAAAATCCAATGACACCTTAAAGACTAATAACACAGTGAAAGAAATGTTGCAAGTCCTTAAGCGACCACTGGACTTTTGTTTCTTTTAATTTTACTTCATTTATACCCTGCCTTTGTAACCAATGGGGACCCAAAGAGGCTTACATCATTCTCCTTTCCTCTGCTTTACCAGACAACAGCCCTGTGAGGTAGGTTAGGCTGAGAGTGTGTGACTGGCCTAAGAAGTTCGAGTCCAGCAGCACCTTGAAGACCAGCAAAGTTTTATTCAAGGTATAATCTTTTGTGTGCATGCACACTTCTTCAGATACGAAAGCTTATACCTTGAATAAAACTTTGCTGGTCTTAAAGGTGCCACTGGACTCAAACATTGTTCTGCTGCTTCAGACCAACACAGCCACCCACCCGAATCTATCTGAAGAAGTGTGCCTCTGAAGAATTAAACTTTATTGGTCTGAAAGGTGCCACAAGGCCCAAACTTTGTTCTGCTGCTCCAGACCAACATGGCTACCACCTGAATCTGACCAGCCTAAAGTTACTCAGCAAGCTTCTGTGGCAGAGTGGGGATTTGAATCTGACAGGCTGCGGTGGCTCAAGGGGTTAAGACGCTGAACTGCAGACCAGAAGGTCGGTAGTTCAGCAGTTCTAGACCCAAGTGCCGCAAGACAGAGTGAGCTCCCGTCTCTGGTCCCAGCTCCTGCCAACCTAGCAGTTCGAAAGCAAGAAATTGTAAGTAGATAAATAGGTACCGCTTTGGTGGGAAGTTAACAGAGTTCCGTGCACCTTGGCGTCTAGTCCTGGTGGCCATGTGACCACGGAAACGTCTCTGGACAGCGCTGGCTCTTCGGCTTGGAAACGGAGATGAGTGCTACATCCCTAGAGTCGGATTTGACTGGCTTTCGAGCAAGGGAAACCTTTACCTTTGACACTCTAACCACTACACCTCACTGGCTTTTTAATGCAACTAAATAAACGTTTAATAGCTTTGTATCAGGACTAACTTCAACAGTGTTGTACACACTGCAACGCTTTGTACTCTACCACTAGCTAACAGTCAGTTTAACTTAGTAAGTGCTCTTAACACTTCCATGGTGCATATGTTAAGTGCCTTTGATTATTCTAATCACAGTGACGGAAATCAATCATGAACATATATTCAGATATTCACTCTGGTTCATTGCTTAAATGCATCCTGGGTAAAATACCAGATGCTGACAGGCAGTAATTGATGACCTTGCTTATAGTGGCCAGTCGTAACTGCGCATGCTCCTGATGTCAGTTTGCTTGCGTTAGATGAAGAACACTGCATGATGTACTCATATCTGTTACATTAAGATACTTTTTGTTAACTTCACAGTCTGAAAAGAAGGCCTGTTGTTTAGCTGAAGGAGGTATATTTTTGCCTGAGAAAATCCAGCCTACAGGTTCGAGCCCAATCAGAATGGTGTGATGGGTATATGACAAAGTTTGATGGAACCAATAATTGTGATTTATTTCTAACTGTCATAGGGAGTATAAAACCCTATGTCTCCCATTGTAACCTTAGGGAGAGCTGTGGGATTCAAAATCTTGTTGAGGCCGCGCTTCCCTCCTTTATTAATAAAGTTTTATTTTAGTTTAAATTCTGCTCTACAAGACTGCCGTGTGCTCTCTCAAATTGGGCTGGGGGAGCACAACCCGTGACGGAGTTTCTGTCTTACAACAGCACAAACACTGTCCGAGTTTTCGAGTTCTCCATTTTGTGTGTCCCAATTTGTGCCGAAGACACATCAGATGAGCGGCTAGCTTTCGCATCATTCCTATTCATATTATTATCACTTTATTTTCTCTTCCTCGTGATGTACCTTGAGACATGCGCACACCACTACCATTTAACGGCCACCCCATGTTTCCAATCATTAAACCGCAGGCCGGCTGTAGCTCCTTTTTCACGCCCTCCTTCCCCTTTGCGCCGCTTGAAAGAGCTCTATGGAACTACGAAGCTTGCCTAGTTTGCATGTTTTCGCTGGTTCTAAATTAAAAAAAAATTCACACACCTTCGAGAGTAATCCTTCGAAGGACCACCGCGATTCTTCGCCAAAGAAATCTGAGTGAACCGATCTTCTCCCCCCTGCCAACCCGGCTGCGATGACGCCACAGCACCGCCGCCGCCCCGAGTTCCTGCACCGCACCTCCCCGCCCACCCCCGAGACACGGCCGCCCCTTCGAACCGTGAATTCCTCTCACCTTTTTTCCCCCCGCCAGGAACCGACCGAAGAACAGCCGCTCCTCAGCTCACCTTACCGGAAGTGGCATCCTGCCGCCATCTTGAATCAGAACGGATGCTGGGAGCGAGAGGAGACCAGGTGCTCGCTTCCCCCACCCTCCGCACACCACTTCCGGTCCAAACCGGAAGTATCCCTCCCTATTTAGGAAACGTCAAGGTGCGAGTAAGCCGCGCAAAATCCAGGAAAGAAACGAAATAGAATCCGTATAATACATTTTATTGGGGACCGGCCCAAACGACGCGAAGCATTGTGCTTGAGCAGAAGAAGGGCCTTTAATCATAGAGTCGCAAAGCCTTAGAATATCCCGCCCCTTGGTCCTTGCATCTGTCAAGACAACTTTATTATGCTGTAGAAAAGGGCAGGAGTCCAGGAGCACCTTAAAGACTAACATATGTGGCAGGGGAGGAGCTTTCGTGAATCCCTGCTCACTTCTTCAGAAAGGACCAGCTCACGTCTTTATTCTGCTGTATGCTAATTTGCTGCTCACCTTACCTAAATATGGACTGGCAACTTCCGTTCTAGTGTATCTGAAGACGTGTGCGGGCACAGGAAAGCTTATACCTTTGGTCTTCAAGGTGCCACTGGACTCAAACTTTGTTCTGCTGCTTCAGCCCACCACGGCTCCCCACCTGAATGTATCTGAAGAAGTGTGCATGAGCACACAAAAGCTTATACCCAGAATTAAACTGTTGGTCATAAAGGTGGCCGTCATCGCTAAGCAATATTATTAATGTTTACTAGCACTTTATAATGTTGGATTGTTTTTAGAAGGTTTTAAGATTGTCTATCACTGTTATG